CAACACAGCCAAAAATAAATAAATAATTTTTTTTTTTTAAAGAAAGAAACTTATTAAAAAAAAAATAGGGGACATAAATGGGACTTCCCTGGCGGCCCAGTGGTTAAGACTCCACGCTTCCACTGCAAGGGGTGCTGCTTCCATCCCTGGTTGGGGAACTAAGATCTCACATGCTGAGCAGTGCGGCTAAAACATTTTTTTAAAAAATAAAGATAAAAATAGGGGACAAGGGGCTTCCTTGTCCCCTAGAGAAGGCCTGTGCGCAACGAAGACCCAACGCAGCCAAAAATAAATTTAAAAAAAAATAGGGGACAGGAAGGCAAAGGAGATGAGAAGGCACAGCCAGAGAGGTGAGAGAGAAGCCAGGGGTGGTGGAATCCCAAAGCCACTTTGCCCAGATTGAGAACTTAAGGTCCAGGGATCGTGGAGTCCCACCTTCCGCCCAGGCTCCACCAATAACTGCTATGTCCCTTCCTAGTGTTGGACAGTCACAGAGGCCCTGAGGATCGCTGAGGGAGACCTTCAATAGCTGCTTTCTCATCCCAGCCCCACCAGCCCTCACTGGCCAAGCCACACACCTAATCTAGCAGCCTCCACGGTCTCATCTGTGAAATGGGTACATTTCAGCCACTTCACCAGGCTATGGGAAAGTGCTGAGGTCAAGATGACCCCAGCTAGAAGTTAATGTGTCCTCTACACCATGATTAGCAGGCCTCCTTGCTCCTGCATCATTCATTCATTCATTCATTCAACAAATATATATTGAGTACCCAAACACTGTTCTGGGTGCTGAGAATACACCTGTGAACAAAACAGACACGGTTCCTCTGTCCTCAAGGTGCTGATATTAAAGTAAAGTAAGACTTGGACTTCCCTGGCGGTCCAGTGGTTAAGACTCGTGCTTCCACTGCAGGGGGCACAGGTTTGATCCCTGGTCGGGGAATTAAGATCCCTCACGCCATGCAGCGCAGCCAAAAAAAAAAAAAAAAAGGAGAGTAAGACAGAGAGTAATACACCAATGACTAATCCAATTTCAGGAAGCAGTAAGAATGCTAAAGCAGGGAAAGGGGACAGAAATGGTCGCGGGGAGATGCCTTATCTCTGGAGTAGGCAGGGAAGGCTTCCCGAAGGAGGTGACATGTGAGCTGAGACCGTGTGGGGAAGTGTGAGTCTGGCCAAGAGTTTTGGCAAAAGCATTCCAGACAGCAGGAATAGCAAGTGCAAGGGCCCTGAGGCAGGACCAGGTTTGGCATTTTAAGAATCAGCTCCGTTTTTGTGGCTGGAGTGAAGGGAGGGAGAGGGAATGGGATCCATGACCTCTGATCACCCATCCCTGGCACTGTTTGCCTCTCCTCCATTGTGATCCATGCTGTGTGCCATGCTATACATTTTTTATATTTATCTTGCCTGTTTTCTCTCTCTCCAACTGTTAGCTTTATAAAGATGGGGACTTCTTTCCTTCTGGGCTCCCTGTTCCCTGCTCTGCTTCCAGAGCCTAGAACAGTCCCAGACACTCAATGTGAGATTGTGAATGAATGAACAGGCATCATTCCCATTGGAAGGGCCAGATGGGAAGGCAATTAGAGGCTCCGTCCACTTCAAGAGGCCCCTTTAGGAGGTCAGAGCTGAGAGATGTGGGGTCAGAGCCTCCCTCCATTACTGAGATTCTAATTAACTCCGGGGCCGAGAGGGTCGCCCTGCTCAGAGGAATTATAGATAAGTTTCCATCCAAGTGTTTGAGCAGCGGCTCTAACGGGGCGGACAGCGGCTCTTCCTCTCCCCAGACCAGCCAGCTGGCCACGGAGGCAGGCACCGAACGAGGTCATTTGCATAGGCAGGTAATTGGTTTTGCAAATAAATCTGGTTCTTGAAATTTGTAGATTAGCAATAATATGTCTCCAGATGAGAGAGAAAGGTCATGGATGAATAAAACAACAATTAAACTTTCAGGAGATTATTAAACTAAACAGAAACCTGGCACGGGGCGGCCAAGGGAATAGGGAGCGAGGCGGGGAAGGTGGAAGGGGTCTGGGGTGGGCGGCCTGCAGCCTGGAGCAGCTAACTGATGCCCTCGACTTCCTGCCTCGTGGGAGCACATTCTGTATGTCAGGCTCTGGGCACAGTGGGATATAGCCAGGATAGTTATCAGGATCCCATGTCCCAGTAGAGAAAACTGAGGTCCAAGGCTGCGCAAGGCAGGATTCAATCCCAAGACCAGCTTTGCACCGTCCCAGGTGGCAGTGAGCCTCATCTCACAGTGGAAAGGAAGAGAGAGGGTGGACCCCTCCTCTGCTGCCTCTTGGCTGTGTGACGAGGACCATCCCTTCCCCCGACCTGTGCCTCAGTCTTTCCACACCTCTAAAATTGGGGCTGAGAGAATTTTATGTGTGATTTTTAATTTGCAAATATTTTTGTACTTGTGTGGGCAATTAAATGTGGCACAGCTGCTAATGGACCGGGCACTGTGCCTGGAATGATGGGGGTGCCCCTCTGGTCATCCTGGGCTCCTGGCTGCAAGCAACAATCATGTGCTGCAGGAAACATAAGCAGAACTGAAATTTATAGATAACTCTCCGGGTGGAAGGGAAAGTTGGAGAAAGAGGGTCCGTCAGATAGAGAGGAAACGGAAACTCGGCAGGTGACACAACCGTATTTTGCCACCCACTAGCTTGTGACCTTGGGTGAATCACCTTTCCTCCTCGAGACCTCAGTTTCCAGAGCTCTAAAAGAGGGAATCATTGTGCCTGCTTTACTTATTCAATGTAGTCATTCAAAATATTTCCTGAGCCCTGAATGAGCACCAGGCACTGTCCTAGGCACCAGGAATGCAGCTGCAAGCGAAACAGGCAGAAATCTCTGCCCTGGTTGAGCTCAAAGCCTAATGAGGGAGACAGGCAATGAGCAAATAAATCAGTAAAGTCTATAGGGCTTTACAGAGTGCTAAGTGCTAGAAAGGAAATTAGGGCAGGGAAGGCATTGGGAAGGAACAACAATTGAGGAGGGAGGGCAGGTTGCAATTTTAAACAAGATGTTCAAGGAAAGCCTCTGAGAAGGTGAGATTTAAGCAGAAATCTGAATGGGGGGAGGGAGGGAGAGACCTGGGGGAAGAGCATTCCAAGCAGAGGGAACAGCACATGCAAAGGCCCTGGGGCAGGACTGTGCCTGGCTGGCATGTTGGAGGAACAGCGATATCTGTGTGTCTGGAGCACAGTAAGTGAGGGGGACAGAGGGAGGAGGTGAGGGCAGGGAGGGAAAGGGGGCGGGTCCTGAAGGTCTCCTTGTCCAAAGGGCATCTCCCTGCTAGGGTTGCCTCAACAGTGGCAAATGTTCACTCCTTCTTCCCAACCCATTTGGTGGAAGAGGTTATGGGCTGGTCCCCAAATTTCATGCTCTATTTTCTCCTTTAGAACTAGAACCTAGGGCTTCCCTGGTGGCACAGTGGTTGAGAATCTGCCTGCTAATGCAGGGGACACGGGTTCGAGCCCTGGTCTGGGAGGATCCCACATGCCGCGGAGCAACTAGGCCTGTAAGCCACAACTACTGATCCTGCGCATCTGGAGCCTGTGCTCCACAACAAGAGAGGCCACGATAGTGAGAGCCCCGTGCACCGTGATGAAGAGTGGCCCCCGCTTGCCACAACTAGAGAAAGCCCTCACACAGAAACGAAGACCCAACACAGCAAAAATAAATAAATTAATTAATAAACTCCTACCCCCAAAATAAAATAAATAAATAAATAAATAAAAAGAAATAGAACCTGCCCAGGTAAAGACTACATTTCCCAGCTGCCCTTGAAGCTCAATGTGACCATCTGATTATGTGATGGACAATAGGATGTGAGCATAAATGATGCCTGTAAGTTCCAGGTTGTAACCTCAGAAGACAAGGATAGGCCCTCCTCTACCCCTTCTCCCCTTCCCCCTCTGCCCTCATCTGGAAGGTGGCTGTGATGGCAGGGGCTAGAGCAGCCATTCTGTTCCAAAAGATGGAAGTTTGGCTGAGGAGGTAGAACACCAATAGAAGCCTGGATCCCTAGTAATTGTGGAGCCACCACTGCAACCTGGGCTGATGCCCAGACTGTGCAGACAGGCATCATTTAAGCCATGGCTTCCTCTTTTAAGTCATAGTCATGGTTCCATAGATCTCAAATAATCACAAGTTTTGAGCACTGTCATTACCCACATTACATTCCCCAGACTTCCTCTCTTCTCTGCTAACACTCCTCTGCTGCAAATTGCCCTTCACTCCCCCTCCTCCTCCCGATTTCCCTCTGACTCTGCTCTTGGCCTCACTGCTCTTGCTACAACCAAGCTGTGTCATAACAAATGAGCCACCTTGTGGCCAGCCTGAAAACTGTCTTTCTTGGCTCTGGAAATCCTGCCCATCTGAGGCTGCCCACTGGCTCTCCAATAGACTTAGTTTTATTCCAAGATATTTTCATGGATGTCTATCTTCCCCCACATCCTCCTCCCCTTCTATCTCCCTCTCTCTTCCAAATTATGGCAACGCCACCAGAGCTTTTGACCTCTAAGTCCCATGTGTATGGCAATTTTGTAAGGCAAAAGGAGACCAGGGGCTTCCCTGGTGGTTCAGTGGCTGGGAGTCCGCCTGCCGATGCAGGGGACACGGGTTCGTGCCCTGGTCCAGGAAGATCCCACATGCCGCGGAGCGGCTGGGCCCATGAGCCATGGTCGCTGAGCCTGTGCGTCCGGAGCCTGTGCTCCGCAACGGGAGAGGCCACAACAGTGAGAGGCCTGTGTACTGCAAAAAAAAAAAAAAAAGAAAGAAAGAAAAAGGAGACCAGAGAGTGTGAGTGACCTGGCTGGGTCACACAGCCTGGATATCCTGTCCAAAGGAAACAGAAGAGTGAGAGAGGATGGACCACTGACCTTCTGGCCTGGGAAGAGAGGACAGTGGGAACCCACTGAGTTGTTCACCCAGGAAACGCCTCTATCAGAGCTGGCTAATCTCATTCCCCCATTTATTCCACAAACACTTACCAGGCAACTGCTGTGTGCCAGGTCCTATTTCAGATACCGGGACCCAAACACGCTCATCCTCTCCCTCTCAGCACTCACAGGTTAGTGTCAGAGCTGTGATGGAGGAGCTCAGAAGAGGCCCCTGAGCTGGGCTGGAGCCTCAGGCTTCCTGGAGGAGGTGATGTGTAAGCTGAGATCTGAAAGATGAACAGGGGAAGGCAGGGTGACCCACATGAAGGAAACAGCAGAAACAAAGGCTCAGAGTCGGGGTGTGCTGGGTTTGAGTCCCTGGGAGCATCCAGAGCAGGGGAAGATAAAGTCAGGGAGGCAATGGGGGTGAAAGGCTGGGGACTTCAGGCCAAGGGCAATGGGGAGCCAAGGAAGGATTTAGAGCAGGGGAGGAGTGAAATCAGATTTGCCTTTGACGAAGGCCCCAGGGAGGAGGGCCAGGTGGGGCCAAGCCCGGTGGCCGGTCCAGGCCGGAGGGGATGCAGGACCGGCCGCCCCTCCCCCACCACATCCCCCAGCAGCCTCGCTACGCCCGGACTCGAGCAGGAAGGAGAGCCGGGAGGGGGTACCTGGCAGCCAAAAGCCCAGCGGCTAATGAACCCGGTGCTGCGCGGGCTATTTTTAGCAGCCGCTCCTCTGGACGCCTAATCGCTCTGGCCGGCTCCAGCCTGGCTGCCATGGAAACGCACAGCGCCGCAGCGGGGAGCTCGGTCCCAGATCCCGGACTGCGCTGCCCGCCCCCAGCCGCGGCCCAGGACGCTGGCGCTGCCACCGCCGGGAGGGGCCCTGCCTGCCCTCCCGCACCGCCGCTGTGTGACCCGGGGACACCTCTGCCCGTCCCTGGGCCTTCGAGGGTGAGGGGGTCAGCGCGGGCTCTGGAGGCTGAGCCCCAGGTTCAAATGCCCGCTGAGCCAGCGGTGCGAGGCGCGACCTCAGGCTTATCTTGCAACCTTGGCTTCTCATGTTTAAAACGGGTCCCCCCTCATATGACTGCGGGGACTGGGATGCCTGGAGCTTGAAGCTCAGCGCCTGGCCCC